AGTAGCGTTGACAAGGACGTGGAGAAAAGGGAACCCTCATGCACTGTTGGTGAGAATGCAGACTGGTGCAGCCACTGTGGAAAGTAGCATGGAGTTACTTCAAAAAATAAAAAATGAAACTGCATTATGGCCTAGCAATTCCACTTCTGGGACTGTATACAAAGAAACCAGAAATGCTAATTCAAAAGAATATATGCACTCCCATGTTCATTGCAGTGTTATTTACAATAGCCAAGATTGGGGAGCAGCCTAAGTGCCCATCAGTAGATGAGTGGATAAAAAAGCTGTGGTACATTTACACAATGGAATACTATTCAGCTGTAAAAAAGATCTTACCTTTTGCAACCGCATGGATAGACCTGGAGAGTATTATGTATGCTCAATGAAATAAGTCAATCAGAGAAAAGCAAGTACCCTATAATTTCACTTATATGTGGAATCTAACGAACAAAATAAACTAACAAAGTAGAGACAGACTCATGGATACAGAGAACAGTCTGACAGCTGTCAGAGGGTAGGGGGTTGAGGGTTGAGTGAGAAGGGTGAAGGGATTAAGCAAAGAAAAAAAAAAAGAAAGACTCATGGACACAGTATAGTGATTGATTGCCAGAAGGAAGGCGGGGTGGGGGCAGGTGGAAGAGAATAAAGTGGGGATAAATGGTGATAGAAGAAGACTTGACTTGGGGTGGTAAACACTCAATACAATATACATACAGATGATGTATTACAGAATTGTATACCTGAAACCTGTAAAATTTTATTAACCAATGTCACCCCAATAAATCAATTTAAAAAATATTAATGCTTACATCAAATATCAATCTAAAACAAAACTTTTAAAATATATTTTTCTATATAAAGTTCTGTTAACTAGATACATCAGTTTCACAAGGATGTAGGACTTCTGTTTCCTGCTTAGGCACAGAAATTCAGCCCTTCATCACATGGTGGTTACATAACTGCTACTGTCTCACATTTGGTTTTCCTGACCTACTTTCTCTTCCTTCCTATCTATCATTCACCTTACCTAAAACAATACTTTCCCCAAATCCATTCAACAAAAACCTACCAGGGATCAGAATTCTAATCCTCCGCTTTCTAACAGGTGTGCCAAAAATGGGCAACAAATTTTGATGTTCCCATTTAGCCCTCTGTGGTCAGAATCGCCACACCCTTCAGAGCCTCCAGGCCACTAGAACAGCCTCATCAGTTTACCCTGAAACATCATGAAATGCAGGGTTAACAAAAGTAGGCTTACAGTTGTGTTATGCAAAACACAGTTTATTCCTGTATAATTATTTATTAACTAGAGGCCTGGTGCACAGATTTGTGCACCAGTGGGGTCCCTCAGCGTGGCCTGCGGCGATCAGGCCAAAACCGGCAGTCCAACACCGCCTGCTACTCCTGCCTGCCACTCCCACTCATCCCAGCCCCACTGCGCCTGCCGCAGGCTCGCACCCAGTCAGTCCCATTCAGGAGAGGCTCGCCTCTCTGCAGCAACGCTCACCAGCCATGAGCCCTGCGTCTGGAGCCCGTGGGTCAGCTGAGCAGTGCTCCCGCTGTGGGAGCACACTAACCACCAGGGGGCAGCTCTTGCATTGAGCGTCTGCCCCCTGGTGGTCAGTGCGCAACATAGTGACTGGTCGACCGGTTGTTTGGTTGCTTAGGCTTTTATATAGACTAGAGGCCCTGTGCACGAAATTCGTGCACAGGTGCGGTCCCTAGGCCTGGCAGGCGATTGGAGTGCGGTGACTCCACTGCCGCCCACAGCCAGCGCCACGTCACCGAAGCCCGCCATGTTTTGCACCGCCCCCTGGTGGTCAGTGCACATCATAGCAAGCAGTCGAACTCCTGGTTGAGGGAACAATTTGCATATTGGGCTTTTATTATATGGGATTATTGTATTATAACTGTAAACCTATTTCTGCCCACCCCCATATGTTGGGAAGTGCTTTCATTACTCCCTAAAATATGTTCCCAGCCTATTACATTTGTTTCTCATGTCCTTCTAACATAAACTGGAAAAATTAATGGAAGTCTTTTGGTCATACTTTATTCACAGCACAAGAATCACTTCTACTCGTATGTATAAGGTTATTCACTGATGTACTATATGTAATAACAAAACACTAGAAGCAATTCAAATGGTAAAAGTATATTGCTACATTAATTTTGGTATATTCAGCCATGACATGCGATGCCCCATCAAAATAATGAGGAAGCTAATATAGAGAAGGCTCTCCAAGACACAGTCATTGAAAAAAAGCACAAAGTACAGAAGTGTGTGTTATTATTAGTCTAAAATGAGGGGGATGTATGTGCATATTTGTTTGTATATGCATGTGCTATGGTCTGAATGTTTATGTCCCCTGAAAATTCATATATTGAAATCCTAACCCCCAAAGGTGCAAGTATATGGTATTAGTAGGTGGGCCTTTGAGGGTGATTGGGTCATGAAGGTGGAATCCTCATGAATGGGATTAGTGCCTTTTATTATTAGAAAGGCCCCAGAAAGCTTGTTGGCTCCCTCCACTGTGAGGACAGAGAGAATGTGCAAGCTGTGAACCAGAAGAAGGCCATCGCCCAACCATGCTGGTGCTGAGAGCTCAGACTTCCTACTCCAGAACCCTGAGCAATAAATTCTTGCTATAAGCTACCTAGTCGGTGGTATTTTGTTAAAGTAGCTCTCATGGACTAAAACAACATGAAACATCCCTTAAAACAGTGGTTCTCAATCCTGGCTGCACATTAGAATCACCTGGGAATTTTTTTAAAAATCCTGATTTCTGGGCCTCATCCTCCAGAAATTGTTTCTTTGTTATGGGGTGGGGCCACAACATTAGTAACAAAGAAACAGAATTTCCGGAGGATGAGGCCCAGAAATCAGGATTTTAAAAAGATTCCCAGGTGATTCTAATGTGCAGCCAAGGTTGGGAACCACTGCCTTAAAGGACATCTAAGAAAAGTGATAACATCTGTTGCCTCTGGGGTAGAGAACTAAGCACGTGGGAGGACAGAAGAAGGAGACTCCCAGTTTTACAACCTTTGAATCTTTGAATTTTGATCCAGAAGAATGGATTACTTTTCATACAAAAATAAATAAAATTATAATTTATTAAATTCCATCTGCAGACACTATGGCTCTTCCATCTCTTCCTATCGTCTGCCAATGCTAGGGCAGGCTCCAGTCCACAGGACAGGCCCCTGTGACCAGCACTTTCCTTCAGGCTGGCTGGTATCCCACTGGTCCACACCCACACACAGAACTGTGTCACACCTCAATGCCTTTGTCCATGCTCTTTTAAAAAATGTCAGGATTCTGCCCTAGCCGGTTTGGCTCAGTAGACAGAGTGTCAACCAGTGATCTGAAGGGTCACAGACTGGATTCCAGTCCAGGGCGCGTACCTCAGTTAGCGGCTCCATCCCTGGCCCTGGTCAGGGTGCGTGTGGGAAGCAGCCAATAGATGTCTCTCTCCCACTTCAATGTTTCTCTCTCTTTCTCCCCTTTCACCCTCCTCCTTCCTCCCTTCCACTCTTTCTAAAAATCAATGGAAAAATATCCTTGGGTAAGGATTAACAAAAATAAAATAAAATTATAAAAAATAAAATTAAATAAATAAATAAAATATAAAATAAAATAAAATAAAAATATCAGGATTCTCCTTCTTGCTTGCTCTGCTTCTAAATCATCCACCTTCTTTGGGGCTCTGTTCACATTGCAAGCCCTCCAAAATATTTTCCAGAATCCTGAAATCCTGCCTATCCCACACAGTCTCCATGTACCCTCTGATTTTTTACTTGCATATCTAGAATATGGCTGGAATTTGTATATCTGATTTTGTAACTGAATTATTTAAAAAAAAAAAAACTGTTTAGTCAGGAAGTAATAATTTCTGCTGAAGGATGGAGTGATTACCACAATATTATACAACTAGAATATCAAAAAAAGTGAAAATCTGATCATGCCCTTTCTGATGAAAATCTTTCCATGGTTTCTACTGATATTAGGACAAAATCAAAACTCATTAATATTTTTCACCAGAACCCTCAAATCCTCCAAACCTCCTCCCTCACCACTCCTCTTAAGTTTCGCACACTTGACATGTCATTCCTTACCCCTGGGCTTTCCTTATGCTGTTCCCTACCTGGACCAGTCCTCTCCTATTCCCAAGCCCCCTTTCCTCTGGCTCAGGAATCAGTTTAAACGTGAAATATTGGTTTTCACCTATCAAACTGACAAAGGTCAAAAAGTCTAAAAATGCATTAAATTGACAAAGGTGTGCGGAAATATACCTTCTCACACATTGCTGGCGGTAGTATAAATTGTTACAACTTCCATGGAGCACAGTTTGGCAATATCTACCAAGATAACAACTGCATATGCAGTCTGACCCAGCATTTTTACTTTCTAAACTAGAGATATATTTGTATGCATGAGAAATAATGTATGTAGCATTATTTGTTACAGCGAAAGACTGGAAACAATCTACGTAAATGTCCACCAAGAGAAAACTGATTATATTCTATAAATATTCTGCAGACATTTAAAAGAAAAAGGCAGTTGCATATATACTTAGATATATTTTAATTAACTGGGAAGAAAAAGCCAGAGATAGCAAGCAAAAAAAGAAAAAGCAAGATTTGTGTAGTATGCTACCACTTGTGTTTAAACAATTTTGCAAAACTATATGAGATATATGCTTAAATAACTTTGTACTATCTTTAGAAGGATTAAAAAAAAAACTGCTACCAGGAATCATCTCTGGGGAAGGGAGGTGGTTGTTGGTTGAGTGGAAGAAAAGAAAGAAAAACTTACTTCCTACTTTTCTACCTTTTGGATTTTCTACTGGTACATGTATGATAGACAGGCAGATAATGGATGGATGGATGGATGGATAAATGGACGAAGAGACATTAAAAAAAAATTTTTTTTAACTGAGCATACCACACAAATGTATGTGGCCCTCTATACAAATTTTAATCTCCAAGTGATCTCTTACCTGCTGGTTGGTGCAGGGAAAGAAAATGAGAGAAGCTGATTCCAGAACGGGTCATTCTCAGAGACAGATTCTGTGCCTGATAACTTTTTTAAGTACTCATTTTTAGGAAGATCACCAATTCTGCTGCTGTTTGATCCCATCTTCTAATCTGGTAGACAACTTGTCCTTAAACCTTCATTTCCACAAGACAACCTAGAAAAAAATGGAAAGAAATTTCAAACTTATTCAAAATAATCCTCAAACTTTTCCTTCCCCTTGACCTAAATGTAAAAAAACTGTAAACATACTAAAGGAAATCAGAACCTTTCTTTATTTTTAAATACATGAGACATCAGATACAAAGTTACAAGGAGAAAAATGGAGCTAACATCTGTCTTAACCAACACAAACACAGAAGTCAGAATCTATACTTGTAGATCTTAGAATGGGCGTACCTCACGCCCCTAGGCAGCAACAACAGGGTACTATCTGCTGAGCAGAGTGAAGGCAGTGCCCGAGGCAGCTGAAATGCCCAAGGAACAAGCGAAGACTAGCCACTGAAGTACCCCTGTCAGAAAGTTCACCTGCTCCCCACCCTCGCAGAAAGCAAAGCAGAAAACTGAGGTCCAATGGCATCTCTTCTGCCAAGGATCATACCAAGCATTCCACACACACATACACACACACACACACACACACACACACACACACACACACACACACACGACCTGGACCCAATTTACTGTATTTGGAACTCCCAAGACTCTTAGTTATGAAAACCAGAATAAAATGGAACTCGAAAAACCCTGTATCCAGCCCTGACCAGTTTGGCTCAGTGGCTAGAGTGTCGACCTGTGGACTGAAGGGTCCCAGGTTCGATTCTGGTTAAGGGCATGTACCTTGGTTGCGGGCACATCCCCAGTAGGGGGTGTGCAGGAGGCAGCTGATGGATGTTTCTCTCTCATGGATGTTTCTAACTCTCTATCCCTCTCCCTTCCTCTCTGTAAAAAATCAATAAAATATATTAAAAAAAAAAAGAAAAGAAAAAGGAAAACCCTGTATCCAATCAGCTCGCCTCCTAAGAGTCCTATTGCTTTTCCCTCTTGCTGTGCCTCCAGACTTCCTAGGCTCTCAGCTCTTCTTTCTCTCCATTTGTCAGTAACTGAGCCTTTCTTCTCCTGGTTTCACTAGTGGCTTCCATGTTACTCTCAAACCTCTCCTAGTCCCAACCTCTGACCAGAATGCCAGTTCTACCTAGATCCCTAAGATACTGAAGATTTTTTTAAACTCAAGGATAACATATTTTAATTATGTGTGTAACATATAAGCAGTAATTTTGTGGATAACTATGCCCCTCACATAAGTCTATACTAAAAACAAGAAGCATGCTATGGCTTATGCCATTAGAAGTAACCCTTTCAAAGGACCTGTTTTTCTAAATTTGTATTTATTGATTTTAGAGAGAGAGGAAGGAAGAGAAGGGAGTAGAGAGAGATGAGAGAAACATCAACTTGTTGTTCCACTTATCTACGTACCCAGTGGTTAATTCTTGCATGTGCCCTGACCAGGGATCGAACCACAACATGAGTGTATACGCTCTAACCAACTGAGCGACCCAGCCAGGGATTCAAAAGACCCTATTTTAATGCAATGTAGTCAAGAACATGTGTGTGCAAAACTGATTCCATCCTCCCTCTCAAAACCAGTTTGCCCTCTCAACTTCCACTACTCCCCTGAAGTTCCCATTATGTAAAAACTACCCTGGAATGTGATTTTTCTGTAGTATATATGACATATCTCCTGAGGTAGATTATCCTATATAATAAAAGGGTAATATGCAAACTGACCCTAACAGCAGAAAGACTGGGAATGACTGGTCACTATGACACACACTGACCACCAGGGGGCAGACGCTCAATGCAGGAGCTGCCCCCTGGTGGTCAGTGCGCTCCCACAGTGGGAGCTCTGCTCAGCCACAAGCCAGGCTGATGGCTGCCAGCACAGCGGTGGTGGTGGGAGCCTCTCCCACCTCCTCAGCAGCCCTAAGGATGTCCGACTGCAGCTTAGGTCTGCTCCCCGCTGGCAAGTGGACATCCCCCGAGGGCTCCCGGGCTGCCAGAGTGATGTCGGACTGCCAGCTTAGGCCCAATTCCCCAGGGAGCGGGCCTAAACCAGCAGGTGGTCATCCCCCAAAGGGTCCCAGACTGCGAGAGGGCACAGGCCAGGCTGAGGGACCACCCCCTCCCCCAGTGCACAAATTTTTGTGCACCGGGCCTCTAGTTCCTAAATAATAATTTAAAGTAAAAAAAAATATTATTGTTATTAAATAAGTGGATTGTACTCTCTTTACCTTCTCTCCTTCAGGAAGGATCTGAATGTGCTCTGGCTTGTGTTTTAACCTCTATGTGAGTGACCCCAGAACTAATATTTTATCCTGACTTCTCAGTCAAAATCCAAGCATAAATCTTTACTTAATGGCCATTTAAATTTGATGTCTTAATATCATCATAAATTTTAAAACAGATTTTAACATTGCCCCCCAAAATAAGCAACCCCTCCAAGCCTTTTTGCCTCAAATTCTCACTCACATAACCAACCATTCATTCCATAAATACCTATTACACACATCCTATAAATGTCAGGTGTTATACTGGAAACTGAACATGTAAAAATGATTAAGACCAAGTTCCTTGCCATTCATGAACCCAAAGCCTATTTAACACATATGGTATGTATCACAATGGAGTTATTTATACACAAAAAGCTATGAAAACACACAGGAGCATCTAAGACAGAGGGAACAGTATGTGCAATGGTACTTTTACTCGGCCAGATCTATGTCAGAAACTAGGCTAAGTGCTGTATAATTACTGCTTCATTTCGTCCCTATGAACAACTCTAAGAGGTGGTCATAATGTTCTCATTTTACAGATGAGGAAGCTAAGGTACAGAAAGGTTAAGTAACTTCCCCAAGGCCCCAGAGGTCATAAGTGGCAGAGCCAGGATTTGAACCCAGGTCATCTCATTCCAGAATCCCTGGTCTTTACCACACTATAGGGCAGTGATGGCGAACCTATGACACGTGTGTCAGAGGTGACACTCGAACTCATTTTTTTGGTTGATTTTTCTTTGTTAAATGGCATTTAAATATATAAAATAAATATCAAAAATATAAGTCTTTGTTTTACTATGGTTGCAAATATCAAAAAATTTCTATATGTGACACAGCACCAGAGTTAAGTTAGGGTTTTTCAAAATGCTGACACGCCGAGCTCAAAAGGTTCGCCATCACTGCTATAGGGTGACTCTCCAATGACATCAACAAGTCTTGTGGGTTCTTCCACAGCATCCACAGTGCTACATAGCGTCTTTTAAATCCATCTCTTCCTTTATATTCCCACTGCCTCCATGCTAGACCAGGCTTCTATAATCTCACATGACTTAGTGCAACAATATCCAGGTGTCTTTACTTCCAATCTTTCCACTTCGACTCACTGTTCGCACTCCACTACTGCATTAATCCTTAAAAGAAACAGGAAATTCAGTCCAGCATTGCAATGAAGAAAGGTTCTAGTGTGAGCTAGATTCTGTTAAGTCTGTATAAGAATCAGTCTGAATCTCCATTTACAACTTATAAAACCTCACTGCATTATGGGAAAAACAACAATACTTACTACTCATAAGATATTATAGGCTGAAGCAAGATGATCCATACAATGCACTCAGCCCTGGCCAGTGTGGCTAAGTCAGCGGTTCTCAACGGGTGGGTCGCTACCCCTTTGGGGGTCGAACGGCCCTTTCACAGGGGTCGCCTAAGGCCATCGGAAAACACATATATAATTACATATTGTTTTTGTGATTAATCACTAGGCTTTAATTATGTTCAATTTGTAACATTGAAATTGGGGGTCACCACAACATGAGGAACTGTATTAAAGGGTCACGGCATTAGGAAGGTTGAGAACCACTGGGCTAAGTGGTTAGTGTGTCAGCTCATGCACCGAAGGGTCTTGGGTTCAATTCCCGGTCAGGGCACAATGGGTTGCGCCAATGTGAATACAGAAGGCAACCAATCAATGCTTCTCTCTCAGACAGATGTTTCTCTCTCTCTCTCTCTCTTCCTTCCTCTAAGCATGTCCTCGGGTAAGGATTAAAAAACAACAACCTAGCACAGTGTATGATCAGCCAAATAAAAGGTCAAATACAATTTATTTTTAATATTAGTAAAATAACCACTTTCATCATTTCACTCAACAGCTCAAAAACATTCAATGATTCTTCAATTGTCTGACATTCAAGACCCTCCAGTCTGAAAGATCACTTTCCAACTACCGTCCAAACCAGTGGCTCTCAAACTTAAATGTACATGAAAAACACATGAGAAGCATGTGGCTAAAAATACAAATGCCTGGGCCTCAAAAAATTCAGAATATCAGGGTAGGACCCAGGCATCTGGATTTTCTAAAAAGCATTCACAGCCCAGCCACGGTGGCTCAGTGGTTGAATGTCAACCTATGAACCATGAGGTCACAGTTCAATTCCCAGTTAGGGCACATGCCAGGGGTGCAGGCTAGATCCCCAGTGTGGGGTGTGCAGGAGGCAGCCAATCAATGATTCTCTCTCATTATTGATGTTTCTATCTCTCTCGCCATCTACCTTCCTCTCTCTGAAATCAATAAAAATATTTTTTTAAAAAAAGAAATGACACTTGAAATTAAAAATAAGATAAAAAATTCAATAGAAAGGAGGCCAAGGAAACTCCCATAATAAATTTTAAAAAGAAGACAAACAGATGGAATACAGGAGACTGAAAATTAGAAGACCTATTTAGAAGTTCTAAAAAGATAGCACAAACAAAACAGAGGGATGTTCCTGCCAAGTCAGGAACTGTGCAGGGCCTGAGAGTTACCTTACCTTGTGTGCTAATAACAAAGGCAACGAAGACGAGAAGCCTCTGGGACACAGACAAAAACAACTCATCAGGCACAGCAACAGCGGTAGCCAGAGTAACACCCTGCATTAGTTTCCTGGGGCCCAATCCCCACAGGTCTTTCAAAGCATTTGGTAAAAGTTAGTAATATGTTCATGGCAAAATAAGCAAATGGTGGGGGCAGGTGGGCAGGGAAACAAGGTAAATTACTCAGCTCAGCAGTGAGCAATATTTATGTAGTCAAAATAATGTAAACACTAACTTAACCAAGAATTTGTATATA